TCCCGGAGCCGCAGCCGTGCGCCGGGCGCGGGGAGTTCGCGGCTGCGGGCCGGGACTCGGGCTAACTCTCCCGCTCCCGGTCGGCGTCGGCGCTCAGCGGGGAGCCGGGGCGCCGAGGCTGAGTCCTGGGACGCCCCGGGGGTGCGGTGGGATCAGAGGTGCGGACGCCGGAGGAGGGAGTCGCACAGCCCGAGGACCCAAAGCCATTTTTCCCGGGGTGGTTTTAAGCAGGATTTTCCTCGGATTTTGGACTTAGGAGTTTAAAAGCCTAGGGATGATTCCTTTTGTTTTGTTTTCTTCGCATTAACCTTTGAGGGAAATGGAACAAGTTACAATAGATCGTTAAGCATCGTGATCTTGCTTTTTCTTTCGGTTTTCCCCCTTTTCTCGTTTCTCGTTTCTTCTCTTTTTCTTTTCTTTCTTTCTTTTTTGTAGTAAAGTGAGTTTTTACTGCTTCTCAAGTTCTGGTAATGTAATACTTAGAATTACCTGTCGAAGTAGTGTCGCACACTAAGAAGCGCTGACTCTTCTGTTCCGGCCAAGGCGATGGACAGAGTCCCCTAGAGAGGGCGGAAGGTGCGAACTGTCTCAGAGAAGGAACGTGTCAATCTAAGCGGGCAGCGTTTCACGATAAAAACCTTATGCGCTGTTGAAATGTCCATTGGCAACATACTGAACACACAGAAAGATACGCGCGTGTGCTGAAAGGCAACAAAGACACGCGGCAGGAATTGTGACAGACTATGGGGAAAGTTACGGATTCTCTGAAGTCTTAAATTTTAAGAGATTCTGACTTTAGTGTAGAATTGTCACCAAAAGCAGAGAAAGTTGTTTTGCTGTTAATCTTGTTCAGTCATCAAAATAGAAGCAATACACCCTAAGTCTGAAACTGTAGAAAGAAACAACCAACAGGCAACAACTGCTTAGTCAAATGGGCAGGATGATCTCTTCTTCAAGTTTTGGGTAAATGTAATGTATGGCCTCTGCTATTCCTAATTCCTGTAGGGGATTAATTTGGGAGGATGGTGGGGACCTTTTCTGCATTGTTCCTGGGATACCAAAAGGTCTGCCATTGCAAGAATGTTTTCAATGAACTTTTTAAAATTTGAGAACAGTCTAAAGAAAACTCAGTGCTAGTATAGAGTTCCCATATACCCCCACATGCAGTTTCCCCTGTTATTAATATCTTAAGTTAGTATGGTGCACTTTGTTCACGTTTTCCTCATTCTTAATATCCTTTTCTGTTCCAGAATCCCACTGCATTTAGTGGTCATGTCTCCTTGTGGTACCTCTCATCTGTGGCATTTTGTCAGACTTCCCTTGTTGTCTGTTGCCTGGACAGGTTTGAGGGGTAATGGTGAAGTATTTTGTAGATTATTCCTCAAATGGTATTTCTCTGATGTTTTCCTCGTGTCTAGTCTGTAGCTAAGGATCTTTTGGAGGAAGATCACAGAGACAAAGTGACATTTTCAGCCTGTCATATCTGAGAATATACTATGAATATGACATCACTGTTTATGTTAATCTTGCTCACCTGGGTGAGGTAGTGCACGCCCATTTTCTCCATAGATTACTTACCCCCGCCCATCTCCAAACTGTCCTTTACAAAGAAGTCACTCTGTGCAATCCACACTTAAGGGAAGAGAATTATGCTGCACTTCTTTGGGGTGGAATAGCTTCACAAATTACTCAGAATTATTATGCATGGAAGATGTATCTGCCACTTATTTACCAGGTTATTTAGCTGCTTATTTTTATATCAGCACAGGCTCATAAATATTTATTTTACATTTTGGTTGATAATCTAATAGTATTTTATTTATTAAAGACAATTTTTTTCTGTAATTACATATTCATTTTCTTCATATTCCTACTAGACATTACTGCTTCTTTTCCCCAGTCTTGTCATGTATTATAATTACATGCTTATTCCATTCTTTCTCATATTTGTCAATTTTTTTAATATCTTTCTTAGTAGAGTGGTGGTGTTCTTTTTCTGTTAAAGTAGAAGTTAAATGTCTCTATAGATATATGGATATTTACTTTTGTGTTTAGTTGATGTATTGGTCAGTTTTCGTTTATTGTAACAAAATACCTGAGATAACTCAAAAGAGGAAAAATTTAGAGGCTCATGATTTCAGAGGGTTTAGTCCATGGTTAGTTGGCCTGTTTGCTTGTGGGACTATGGGAATGCAGCACATAATAGTGGGAAGCACATGGTAGAGCAAAGGTCCTCACTTTATGGCTAGGATACAAAACAGAGAGAGGAGGGGCTGGGTTCCACTATCACCTCTTAGAGCACTCTCCCAGTGACCAAAACACTTCCCACTTCTTACAGGTTCCATTACTGCCAGTAATGCCATAGGCTAAGGACTAAATCTGTAACACATGTGCCTTTATCCAAACCACACCAGTTGAATTACTGCATATTTTTCACACTTCATTATAGAATGCATGTGCGTGTGCATGCGTGTTTGTGTGTGTGTGTGTGTGTGTGTGTGTGTGTGTGTACTGCCTGAGTAAGTTTATTCTTGGTCCAAGGTTTCCTAGTTCACTGTTTCTTCTTATTTTAATTCTTATCAATATGGCTGGTTGTGTACACTCACTGGTTTCTTGGTGCACCCGGGGGAGGAACGGAGGCAGGAACAATGAAAAGATAAACAAGGGACAAGAGCTGGGTCAGGTGGAGGGCTCTTGGCTGGATGGATAAGAGGACCTGAACAACAGTAGGGGCATTTATTTGTACCTTTGCAAAGTTCATACCATGAGACACAAGGTTGCGTAGTGACTAATGACTGAATTGTCCAGACAGGATGCTTTTCTCATGACTGAGGTAGCTTGACTGCTTTAGGCACTGTGGCCTTGTCTTGCCTCCGTACATATAACCAATTTCGAGCTCCAGCTGCACCCAACAGCTCATCACCCAACTCTATCTCAGGCCAGAAGGAATTTCTCAATGTTTTCTCACCAGTGTATGTCCCGTGCTGGCCAAAGTATCTGGTTAACAGTAGATGGGAACATATACCTGATGATTAGATAATGTGTGTTCCTTCAGGCTGCTATAAAAAATGTAAACAGGGCAGGTTATAAATGACAGAAATGTATCTCGCATAGTTCTGGAGGCTGAGAAGTACAGAGTCAAGGCATGGCCAGTGTAAGTGTCTAGTGATGGCCAACTTTTTAGTTTATAAATGCCTTCTTCTCACAACATCCTCATGTGGTGGGAGGAGCAGAACAGTTCTAGGGGGCCTCTCCTGTAAGGGCACTAACCTATTTGTAAAGGTTTCCTCTCATGATCTGAATACCTTTTAACAGCCCTCTCATGATGAAATCACCTCTCTGTTTTTGGACCATAGCAAATGATCTGGAGATAGGGAAAAGTCAGTAAGCAAAGTGTACAAATGGAGTTAACAGCTACAATATAAATTATGAAGCACCAACTGCATGTTCAGTAGGTTAAGTGTCAGATTTTCAGAGTCAGCATTTAAGCTGATATTTTCACAAAACAGTAGAAATGAGTGTTCACTGTTGGTTCGTGGGGCCTTCTTGCTTTTGAAGAACTTTCAGAGCCAAGCAGTTTAGTATGAGTGAGAGCACTTCCTACTGCTACCTGGCTGGTAGCAGCAACTGGTCCTCAGATCTGAACTGGAACATAAGTCACTTGACATGAGGCTATAATCTCCCATGAACAGATAAAGACTTTGGTAGGAGAGAAACATCTGGATCATTTGTAAAATCACAACATTTTGCTTCCAGTGCAGAGCTGATCCAAAACAGCATCCAGGGGCCCAATCCCAAGAGAGTTCTGCCTATGCACACATTGTTAAGAACAAAGGATAATAATCAAGTTAGTCCCAGTTATCCAATGAACAAAAGGCCAAAAGGTCTTCTTGATGGACCTGATAATCATTTCAAGTCTATGACAGAAATAATGTTTAAAAAAAAAGAAGGAAAAACATAAAACCTTCAGCCTAAGAGAACAGTGAGTTCTTTTGGCTGAGAACTCTCCTTTATTCTCCAACTCGAGCCCAACAGAGCTGAGAGATGCTCGTTACCCATGCTTTCCATTGCACTGGTTTCCAGCTGTGACCCTTTGTGCTGGAGAAAGTGTGCTGGAAAGAGCTGCTGTCTGCGGAAGTCAAGGACTGGAAATCTCTGCAAGTCCTTCATTGTCTAAAGTAACATCTTTTTCATCCCATAGTGACATGGTCACAGCACTGCTGAATCCGTACTTCAGGATACCCCTCTTGCCATACTTTGGTTTAGAGGAAGATGAAGATGAGGATGGAAAAGGGAAATGAAAACCTGGATCCAGTACAGCTTATTTTGGCAAGCACAGAAAAAGAAAACTTAAAACTCGGCATTGGTTTCTTAGAAGGTGTTATTGTTAACAAGGCTAGAAGGCAGAAAAACACGCAACAGGATTAATGTTCTGCTACTATGGAAACAAATGACCACACACTACACAATCCAGATTTATTATCTTAAAGCTGTTGAGGTCAGACATCTGAAACAGGCCTTGCTGGGCTAAATTCAAGGTATTGGCAGGCAGCATTCCTTCTGGAGGGTGCTAGGGAAGAATCTGTTTCCAGGCCTTGTCCAATTTTTAGGTACATCTACCATGGCCTCTTCCTGTAGCTCCAAACCATTCTGCCATCTCTGATTGACACTCCTCTGCCTCCTCCCATTGCATGGATGAGGACTCATGTAATTACCCATCTGGGTAATCCAGAATACTCTACCCATGTCAAGATCAGCTCAGCAGCAACTTTAGTTCCATCAGCAACCTTAATTCCTTTTGTCTTAGTTACTTTCTTTGCTGCCGAGACACAGTATGGGACACCTGCAAATTAAAAGAGGAAAATTTTATTTTGGCTTTTGTTTTAGTGGCTCCCAGGCAGGATGGTAATAAGTGCTCACCTTATGGCAGACAGAAAGCAGAAATTGAGAATGGGGCTGGGGAGGGAGAGAAACCTTTCTAGGCCACACCTGCAGTGATCTGCCACATTCTTTTTAATGACTTCACTTTTATTGATTTTTTCTGAGACAGGGTCACACTATGTAGTCCAGGCTGACCTTGAACTCACTATGTAGCCCAGGCTGGCTTTGAACTTGTGTGATCCTCCTGCCTCAGCCTTCCAAGTGCTGGGTTTATAGGCGTGCACCACTATGCCTGGCACTTCTATTACTTTTGAAGGTTTACAACAGTTCAAGTATTTTTGCTTCTATGTGTGAAGGTTTTAAAACTTTTTTTTTTCATAAAATGTAAGAATGAGCAATTTCAACATCAAGTAAAAGTAAAAGCTGGAGTTCTTTTTCAAATTAGTTGAAAGTGGCATTGAGGAACTTGGCTGTAGGGTGCTGTGCTGACATCATAACAAACTAGTGTAGGGCTGGGTCTGGTTTTGTTTTGGTTCTCTTTTCAGTATCCAATGCTCATGGATTAAGTTCTGGAAATGTTCCAGTTGTAAGACAGGGGCATGCTCTTGGGTTGGATGTTGGAGGGTGAGGCACGTTTTGCTGGAACCGTGTTGACTAAATTCTTGTTATCAAGGGCAAAAAAATGTATCATCTCCTTAGTGCTCCCTTTCCTGGACATCTATATGATATCGCAAGATACCTCTGTGTCTGAAATGAGATTTATCCTTTTCCTTGTTCTGGAGTTCAGTAGACCATTTTCTCCTTTTCTATTCCTTGGCAATGAAGAGCATATTTCATTATATCCACATTTTTGTAGACTATTAGAATTGCTACACTTGCCATTTCCAAAGCCTTTAGTGTATCTTTTACTCTGAAACAGTACTTGCCTATGTCCTGGAAAATTTCATCAAAATATTGTCTGATTGATTTCTTCTCTTGAGTGAGTTTCCTGAGTTATTTCACTCAGGAAATAACTCACTAGCTTGCTTGGATCCATTTTCACAACCATGGGATTTAGCAACGAACTTTAAAACTATCAGTTGCAACCTCTGATAGAACATAGCAGATTCTGGGCTGGGGATTTAGCTCAGTGGCACAGCACTTGCCTGGTAAGTGTGAGCTCCTGAGTTCAATTCCAAGTACCAATAAAATAAAATAAAATAAAATAAAATAAAATATCAGATTGGCTTAGTTCAGTTTTAAAGTCTGTTGACCTAACTAAAACAAGACCAGCCACATTCACTTTTTCCCCAGAAATAGACAGCTGTACAATAGTCTCTGCTACTTTATGAACATAGTTATGTCACTTTTTCCTTCTTAAATAGGCAAAATGCAAGGCTTACTGACCTCTTCTACCAGGTTTCTTTGAGAGATCCACAGTGAATTTATGCAGGACTTCTCTTGTATTTCCTTCCAGTGTGCCAAAAAGTGCACCACTGTCACCTATGACAATGAAGCCAAACTTGCTGTCATCTAAAAGTAGTGCTGCAAGAGCTTCTGTATGGAATTTGTTGTCGCACAAGTATAATAATGTATTCATTGGTTTGTGGGGTTCAAAGGCAATGTCGACTTTTTCCTTTCCTTCTTCTGTTACACTTGTTCCACAGTAAACAACCAGAATATTTGGATAAGGTTTGAGCCTCGATTGTACAGATGTGATGGGTTTCCAGATGTCTACATTCCTGTCAGTAGCACTGGGGTTGTCCATCATCTTCTCACCCTCACTCCAAAGGACCAGTCCTGAGTGGAGGCCTGGACATAGGACACCAGCTCCATTTCTCCTGGAAGCTGCATGTGTTATAATCTGTTCACATGGGACTTGTGATATCACCTCCTCAGCCAGGGGTGGAGTGAGAGATGGCAGCCAGAAGAGAAGGTGCTGGTGCTGATGACCTTCCGCTTCTGAGCAGACCCTGCTTCCTAGCAGCAATTCAGCTATAAATTCCCATAATTTGATCACCTTCCAAAAGTTCCACCTATGCCTTCATGACATTCTATCCCTGGTGGACATCTAGATATAAATCCTAATATTCTTCCCCTGGACCTCAAAGACTCATACACATCTCTTAATGCAAATTCCATTTAGCTTATCTCAAAGCTTTGACAAAATCTGAAAAACTCCAAATTTGCCAAAAAGTCCAAACCCAAAGTTCCAGAATTGCTGAAAAGTCAAAATCCAGTACTTTGAGACATAAGGCAAACTCTTAGACATGAGACCTTAGAACTATCAAAAAGAAGTTATGCCATGCCCTACATATAACAGTGCAGGATAAACATTCTCATTCCTAAAGGGAGAAATAGGTGGGGTAGAAACCAATGGGACTCAAGTAAGACCAAAACTGACCAGGGCAAACATTAAATCCTATAGTCTCATATCTAGCACCCAGGGCAAGCTGTGGCAAGATGTGAACTGCAAACAGCTTGAGTTGCTGTCTTCCTACAGCATTCCTCGTGGTTACAGCCCTCGTGGCTTCTCCCTTGGGCTGGCTTTGTTCACTGCTTGTGGCTTTCCTCAGATGTTCCACATTCCTGACTTCTCCAACTTCCTGAGCACTCTACTGAAATTCTGGTTTCATCTTCACAGCTTCATGAACTTCCCTTTCAGAGTACACTACCTGGCCTCCCAGGCCTTCTTTTGAAATCTACATAGAAGCCTATATGACCCCTTAACTCTTGCATTCTGTATGCCTGTAAACCCAGCACCATATGGGCACCACAATCTGCCAGCAGCTGGAGCAGTAGCCAGGCCCCTTTGAATCATGACTGCAGGGGCCTCTGAGTGCCTCGTGAGCCTGCAAGCACTAATGAGCCTGATGAGCACTGAACCTACAGGAATAAATGCACTAGATGGGGTGCGTAAATGTTACAGAGCAGGGGGCCCTGGAGCTTTCTTCTGAAAGCAAAGTGTTCACTTCGGCCACTTTGAGTCTGTGAAGGGTTGGGTATTGCTGGCTCCTTTGTTGTCCTCAAGCCATTTTTCGGTTGTCCTGTTGTAAAGTACTTGGCTTCTTTTTAATGCTAATCTTTCCAGCACCCAAACCCTTTTCTTTTCCAACTTTGGAGGCCCCAACTGCACTGGAGTTTCCTTTTTGACCAATCTCAAAACTTTTTCAGTCATTCACTTTTGCCGTTTGCTCTTTATTTTCAATGCATAGCTCACTAAAAGCACCAAACGTACATATGCCGTCACCTTAACATTAGGCTGCCTTGAAATTTCCTCCACCAGATTAATTTGCCTACTGCCCTTAATTTCAGTATTGCACAAAGTCTCTGGACAAGAGAAAAATGTAAGCAAAATATTTGTCAGAGTATAGCACACATGGCCTAGAGTCCAACTGCCAGTGGAGTCCTTCTTCCCAACTGAAGTCTTCTGAGTATGGCCTTTACTATCTATCTCCATTTCTACTGACATTCTGGTCTTCTGAGCTCAGATCAAAAATCCTTGTCAAGCTTAGCTTATAACATTCTAGGGCTGGCAAGCGCAAGGTCGTGAGTTCGGTTCCCGGTACCGGAGAAAAACCAAAAAAAAAAAAAAAGAGAGAACTACTTTAAAAATTTCAGAAATAAATACTTTGAAACATTCTAGGGCTTCTTTTCCAGTTGCCGTCTCTAAAGCTTTCTAAACTCCTCTGGTGAACCACTTCCAAAGGCTTCTGAACCATATCATCAGGTAGTATCACAGCAATGATCCAAAATCCTGGTACCAAATTCTGTCTTACTACTTTGTACATTGCTGAGACAAAATACTAGACACCTACAAATTAAAGGAGAAGTGTATTTTGGCTCATGTGTCAGTCCATAGTTGGCTGCCTCCAAGCTGGCTGGCATGGCACAGGAACATGGCAGAGGAAGAACTGCTCACCTCAGGGCAGACAGGAAGCAGAGATTGAGAAGGCAGGGGTTGGGGAAGCAGATAAAAAAAAAATCTTTTCCAGACCATATCCCAGTGACTTGCCCCTTCTGCCAGACCCTATCTCTTAATAAATCAGCTAGAAGTCCCCGTAATCCATTCTTCTAAAAGCTCTACCTATGACCACATGAGGCTCTGGGGGATATCTGGATATAAACCATAACACTATTTATTTAATAATAATGTGTGTTTTTAAATGAATGCTGGGGATGTGCTCTCCCACTGTGCTACACCCCAGCCCCTTAATTACTATTTACCGTGCAAATATATTGATAGGTGCTAAGTAATAGGCTGTAGACATCTTTGAAGGAGACATTATTCTAGGTACCACATTAACCAAAAAGAAGATGGGCAAAGCAGCAGTGTGAATAGTATTGTGGTCAAGAATATTCTAGATCCTGTAAAGCAACCATAGCTTTATCTTTAGAGCATAATTCGCAGTAATATAAAGCTGTCTTTTTCAGTATATTTCATACTTTACAATGCAGTGGTAAAGAACTTGCTCTCCAATGCTGAGCTCTGTGCTCACTCGCTAGCTGTGTGATCTACCGGTTGTTTAACTTTTTTGTGTGTGACAGCTGACTCATCTGTAATGGTGATAATACCAATAATGATGCTGACCTCATCGCGGTTTAGGGAGAATTAAGTATGTTGACATATGTAGCACACTTAGAAAGCTGGAGATGGAGTGAACACTTTCCAACACAGAATATCGGTCAGATTTGCATTTCAAAGAGAACATATTGGGTGGAGTATGGAAAGTGGACAGTTGGAGTGACTGGAGAGTTGGCAATTGCTTATACAGATATTTCTCTTATATATGCTATTGAAATACAGACATGTAATTACACATATTAATAAATCCACAGAACCATGTCTTATATTTGTTTTTTTTTTTCTTGTCTTATATTTGAAATGTGGCTAAATCTAAGCAGAAGCTGGAGAAAAATCCTCCTTGGATTTTTAAGGACTCCCCTCCACACCCCCCGGCCCCACCTCGTCTCTCCCTCCTTCTCCTCCCGGTATTAAACCCAGGGCATCAAGCCTGCTAAGTACTCACCTACTGCTGAGCTGCTCCCTGACGTCCCTAAGGAATGTTTGAAAATTATATATACTACACGCATTCCCATCTTTCTGTTCAGCTCCCAACATGAAACATGAAACATTGGTTCTTTTGCTCATATTCATCTTCTTTCAGCGTCATCTCTTTTCCACTCCTGGGTTTATCTTCCTTGAGGATTAAGTGTTGCAGGATTTCCCTGATTTAACAGTGAGGAGGGTTGTTGGATTTGATTTGATGGGTTGAAGAATGGCATTCTGTATTCCTGAGGACGTGGTGGGGCGGGGAGAGGAAGGACAGAGTGAATGTGTGTTTTTAAATGAGTGTCTGCTGGCAGTAACACAAAACCCTACTCTGGATCTTTAGGCCAATAGGCAGAGAAGCAAAGGACTGTACTGGACCTAATCCTGTGCAAGTATTTCAAGAGCTATACTTTTTGTTGTCCATTGTCTGGCTTAAAAAATCCTAAGCAAGAGTTCTTGTGAACCCAACAAGACAGTAATTCCTTCAGAGTCCTGCTTCTCTGATCCTCATATTATTCTCTGTGTCATGTGTCTCCCTCTCCTCCCGTCCCCTCCCTCCTCCCCCTCACCATCTTTCTCTCCCTCCATCCTGCCTTTTTCCCCACCTCTTCATTAGCATCTAGTTTTTATTTGTTTTATTCTATTTTGATTTAGCTTTCAGAATTTCCTGAAGTGATAATTTGGGACCCCAAAATTAAGTTGAGCATCCCTCATCTGAAAATCCAAAATTTGAGTACCAACATTATGCCCCAAGTGGCAAATCATATGCTTTACACCTCGTATGACAGGTCACAGTCAAAACACAGGTGCACTAAGAAGTTTGCATAAAATTACTTTCAGGCTAAAGTGCACATGAAACATAAATTTCATGTTTGACTTAGGTCCTACATCTAAGATACTTTAATATATCTATGGAAATATTCCAGTGTCTGAAATCGGAGACACATTTGGTCCCAAGCATTTTGGATAAAGGACATTCAACCTATATGGGGGTTTAAAGAAATCAACTGCCCTGTCCCTTGTCTCTTTCCCGCTAGGCTTGTACAGTTTGCTTGCTCTCATTTTATCAAAGCAGTCACCTGCTGTTTTTATTATTAGCTTTCTTCACATGGTAAGCATTTGCTAAACACTTTACTATGGATAAAAACAAAGATATAAATAAATAATTGTTAAATGCATCCACTTAGATGTTTAACTAAAAATAATACATGCGTTCAGTAAATTCAAACAGTGCAGAAGGTTATAATATAAAAAAAGATCATCTTTGCAGCCCTTATGATTCCTATTGTGTATCTCACAAATAACCCACTCTTAAAGTACAGGAAATTGAATGGGGACAGTTCTATTATATATGAGTACAACTACATAGTTTCTTTAAAAGTAAGAACCAAAATCCACTATACTTACTGTTTTACATCTTCTAGCAAATCAAATCATGTTATATATACTAAAGGTCTCCACCTTCCTTACCAAAAATTATTTTTGTTAGTGATTATGCCATAACCCAAAGCTAGTTATTACAAACAGGACTCGTGATAACATTTTATGGAAGCCTCTAGAATTATTGTGACAAAATTCAGCAGAAGCTACTTTCCAGCAGAAACTCCCCAAAATAAATAGTGGAACAAAGCGATTAACAAAAACAGAGGGAAATAAACTTCCAAACCAGCAATCAAATCTAAGGGGGGAACAATGCCAACCCACGTCCAGTTAGAATATGCAAAGGAGAAGAATATATGGGCCAAATCAAGAAAGGACAGAGATATTAGCACCAACTCAGATATATAGACAAGTGCAGACAGATGCTATTTTTGAAGGAGACCAAAGAAGAAGTAATGACCATAAATAAAAAGGGAACCTATTGAACTACTGGGAAAGTGCTAATTTTGAAAAAGGAGAATGTTTTTTAAAAATGCTCTGGAGGCACTTTAAATAGGCATGGATTCTGAACAGTAGCAGAAATGGCATATTGGGACAAACTATGGCCCCAGTGCCTATTTGTCCAGTAGTCGAAACACATAGCCAGTTATGCCATTAAAATTTTATATAAATGTATTAGAGTTGTTGGATCATTGTAGTTTGGCCCATGTACTGCTTTTGGTTCCAGAACAAATCAGATTCTTTTGTGCTGTATGTGTGTGTGACCATCTATGCCATTGAAGTAGGTACAATGTTTCTTTACAACCTCTATTATTCTCTGCTTATTGTTGTCATTATGTAATAGTCTCTGTGTGGCCAAATGCAGTTTCTCCCCTTGAGGGCTGACTCCAGATTTCCTTACCTCTTAAGATTTTACAAACTGTCCATTCCTCAAAGCTGAAATCTATAAAAAAAAAAAAAAAAGCTAAAATCTACCACATTATACTTCAGCTCTTAGGGAACTTAGTGGACTGTACTGTTATAATTTTTACATATGCATCTCTCTGGGTGTCAGGTTGATGAGACAGAAGACAGCATATCTTTGTCTCCTTGCACCTAGAATAGTGCCTGGCCCATGGTGGTCTTTAATAATTAAATAGTACGTAACCTGGAGTTTGCTTGCTTCTGTGCTTTATAAAATTGCATTAACTTTTAATAATAAAAGTCCCAGAACACATATAAAATTAATAACCATAATAAATGAATAGTTTTACTATTTCTAGAACTCTTGCCTCCCCTTATTAACTATGGCCTTCCTAGAGTTACAAGGAAATATATCGACTGGTTTACCTTAAAAAGTTTAAGATATTTGGCTGATTGCCTAATGCTTCCTTGATTAAAAACTCAAAAATGAATCAAACAACACAATCAACAGAGACTCCCTTATCACCATTACAAACAACACAACCCTCAAAAATTGCCTGAAATAAAACAGAACAGAATATGTTAGAAAGTTGTAAAAACTTCCAAATTCTCCTCTCATGATTAAATCTCTTTTCCACTCAGTTGAGATGACAACAATCCATGTCACATCATGGGCAAAGGTGTATTAAGATAAATTAGAAGATAGAGCCTGAAAAAGTTCTCTTTATTTCCAAATCAAAGGTTATTTTCTTGGGTATTCTTGTCTGGTATTTATAACATCTTCTTGAGGGATCTTGACACCTGCTCATTAGCACAAAAATCTTCCTCTTGATCCAGGTGACTCATCTCAGTCCAAAGGTATCATCTCCCAGTTCAGCAGTATGTTGGTGCCAAGATTAGCTATATCCTGAGAATTTCAGCTGTTGCACTGTTCCCCCCAAAAAAGAAATCTGAAGGTGTTGGATTGTTCAAAGAACACTCACTGGGGCAGTGGTCTTCAAACATTTTTATTGCATTTCCTATTTCTTTTAAAAGGGGCATAGACTTTTGGTTATAAATTATATAGTTCTGTATAAATATATTAATGATTAAAACACACAGCATAAACACCAAATGAATGAGATAATGAATTAGTAGAAACAAATACCTTTTTTGGGGTATAAATTAGGTGACAGCAACCCCATATTCCAGCACTTTTTAAATTTCTAGAATTAAAACACTGTGAGATTGGTACATGAACAGAATATGGAGTCCTGACACTAACCCAACCTCTTGTGAAAAGTATATGAAGAGGTATATGATGGCATCTGAAACCAGGGAAAATACTTAATAAATATTGTTACAATAACAGGGTTGACAGTTGAGGAGAAAATAGATCTGAACCTGACAGTGTACATAAGATAAATTCCAAATTTATTAGAGCTCTAAATGTAAATAAATAAATAAATACATAAATAAAATCACCTCTCCCAATAAAGTAGGAATGTATTCTTGTGTTTTACATATATATCACAAGAGCATTTGCATGGGAAAAATAAAGCACCACAAACTAATCAAGAGAAATGATGACTAGGGAAAAGATACTTGTAATTTAAGTCTCAAAGATTTATTATTGCTGATAATAAGAGTTAATAAAGTATAATAAAAGAGTTTAATAAAAGTTAAAAGGAAAATAAAACATAAACATTTTTAAATGGCATTTAAATGTCCTAGAGAGTTTTTCGGAAGAAAAATCTTAAATGGTCCTTCAAAGATGGAGTTCTGCTGACTATAACTTAAAATGCAAATGAAACCATCACAATGATAGCATCATTTCACCGGCATACAGAGGTTCCTGAGTCTGATACCCAGTACTGCAGAACAACAAACAGAAAGTGTATAGATTAATATACAGGAATTTGAGTATTTTCTGCAGCCCTGAGTTTTCTAGTATACTGCACCTTAAGGTCTACTGGCTTAAAGGGAAAATAAATAAACCAAAGTGAGTGCTGCAGTCTGAATACTTGTGTCTCCCCAAAATTCACATGTTGATACCTATGCTAGTGCAGCAGTATTGGGGTGGGCCTTTGGGAGATGATTCAGTCATGAGGACTGAGCCCTCAAGAACAAGGTTAGCGCCCTATGAAAGAGGCCTGAGGGAGCTTGTTCACCCTTTCCATATCGGGACATGAAAAGTGCCATCACCCATGAGGAGCGAACCCATAGCAGACGTGAAATCTGCCAGACCCTCTGTCTTGGTTTCCCAGTTTCCAGAATGTGAGCAACAGATTTACCTTGCTTATAAATTGTTCATCTAAGGATATTTGTAATAGCAACAGGAATACACTGAAATAGCAATTCTACTTGAGACATCTGTTCTTTTACACTCTACATCTTAAGGGTGGTAGCCTATGTCAGAAAGGTAGATCTCTGTAGTCCACTTCACACTGACAGATAGCAAAATAAAACTTCTTAAAAACAAACCCAACTTTACCATCAATTAGAATTCCAGTATCGTGGGTTGTGTAGCAAATCACTGTTAACAGCTACATATATATATATATATAGATATATATAGATATATTTCTTTTTTTACTTCATGATGTTGTGTTGACCTTTCAGTGCATTTCTTTGGACTTTTTTTGGCGGGGGGGTTTGCACCAGGAATAGAACTCAGGACCTTGTGCTTGCCAGGCAGGCGCTTGTACCACTGAGCTATATCCCCAGCCCTCAGTGCATTTCTTTGGAAAAGGACTTTAATATTTTATCCTCTAGGATATAAAAATACCCTTCAGATAGTGCATGTCATATTTATAGACTGATAGCAAGAAAGGGTGAATATAAAAAAATGAGTTGATTAAATTTCTAAAACATTAAAACTTTCATTTTGCATTTGCTTAATGGATACTAGTTTGAGCAAGACCTTGGTCAACCTTCTGGCCTTTCAAACAGTAAAAGGTATTTCCCACCATCTTCCACAGTCAGGGCTCAGCCAGCATTTGACATGTCAACTCAGGCACTGCTTCAAATTACTCATACTCTGTAAAATATTCATTTAATATCCAAATTCTTGTCATTATAACTTAATGTCAAGTTCCATACATGTCCTTTTATGATTGAATTTACCATAGTTCCTTTAACCTTGAGGACCGCCCCCAATCTCCAAGAATGCTGTAGAGAGAACACTGTGGGGAAAGAACAGAAGAAATAGAAGCATTTACCCATTAAATCAGAAGCGACCTAGTGCCGCATCAGCAGCAGAATGCAGAGTCATCTAGTCTTTTGTGTCAGAAGCTATTTCCATGCTGGATGATACCTTCCCCAAATACACTAGGGATGTGTGAGCCAGGGAATATAGGATAGACGTTAATAGGGGAAGAAGTTCCCCCTTACCAATTACCCCATTACATCTCTCAGTGTTAGTAGAAACAAGATCAAATCACAGCCCTTTAATAGAAGATATATTTAGAGTCCTCATTAATTTATTTTATTCTTGCTACTGCCATCTTCTACACTCAACTCTAACTTTAGTGATGAGATAAGAAAGTCTTCTAAGTAGTTATCAAAGCAGTCAAAACTAACCTTTTTTATCATGTGGGCAAGGATGTTTGAGGACACTTATTTCTTATTATTAGAAAACAAAAGTTCAAACAATTTTGGAAGGGAGCTATAAAACACTTCCTTTGTAGAGCAAAGTTGTGTCACTGATGTTTCTGTTGAATCAGTTTCTTTTCAGAGGACAGTGGACTCCCATATTTTACCTGAAACAATATTAGTCACTGTTTGTAACGTGACAACTCAGGGATGGGTTCATATTGACAGGTGTGGTGAGCAGAATCAATTTTACTTTTTAAATTATATTTTTATAATTATATTTCTAATATATACTTGCCTGTGATACCTTATTAAGTTCATAAGTTAAATGTCCTTGAGAAATGCTTTGGTAGATGTTAAAAGTCCTTTTTATACCTGAGCTGTAGTGGTCAAATTTGTTCATAAGCAAAAAGTATCTGAATAAAATGAAGCCAAATGTGGTGGTATATGCCTGTAGTCCCAGCGCCAGGCAGGCCAAGGCAGGAGGGCCACTATGAGTTCGATGCCAGCATATGCTGCCTGGTGAGTTCAAGGCCAACCTGAACTACATAGCAAGACTTTGTCTCAAAACACTATATATATATGGAGTTATCATTGCAAAGAATTAGATTAGCCACTTTACTATATTTAGGGCTTGTTTTCCTTATTTAAAAAATGAAATGGGTTCAATTCCAACTGCCACACCAAAATAAATAATGTTAAAAAAAGTTTGATCTAATGATGATTAGTGTTTTTTATCATTTAACATTTTGTAGTTTTAAATGGGAAAAATGTACCATAATTAGCTTGTGATGATAAAATTACTTCACATTAGAGTATGTTAGAGTTGAACATACTCTAATTCTAAAATTGTCTCTTTCAGAGTCTTTATTGGCTGGAACAGTCTATTTTGGGAGGAAGCAAAAAAGAGACTTCAATAATAGCTTGGTATCATAAAGTTCATTGTATATTATACTATGAAGATTCTATTTGATACACTAAGCAATAAGAAGTTATTGGAGGTTTTAGAGGGTGAAGTAATATGTCAAAAACTGGTGTTTGGAGTAAACAATCACTTTGACCCTTACACATAGACTTGAGAGGAGAAAGGTAATCAGAACTCAGGCATTGCCTTGAGGTAAGCAGATCAAGGATTAGAGTGGCAGCCATCAAAATTATTTAGGATAAGTGAAATCCAAAAGACACTGAAAATAGCAATTGATGATTTAGTGATTAATTAAATATGAGGTACATGAAAGAAATAAAAGTAAGAATTCTAAAGTTTGAGGACTTGCAGAACCAGAAAAATAATAGTATTTAATTCATTAAAAGAGAATGATTATTATTATTATTTTTTGGGGGGGGGGTTTGGTTTTTCTCTGGTACCAGGAACCGAACTCATGACCTTGTGCTTGCCAGGCAAGCGCTTTTGCCACTGAGCTAAATCCCCAGCCCCAGGAGAGAATGATTATTTTTATATTTCAAGTAAGAAAACACCTCAAATGACCCTATATACCATGGGAAGAGGAGGAGAAATGTAAATTCTCTATACCTGTCCTTTGTGTTTAAGTGGTAAATGAAAACAGAAATATGGAGACACTGGAAGAAAACGTGAAGAAGATTGATAGCAGACAAAAGACCAAATTCTGGAGATGTGCTTGGTAAAAGAATATAAAAGATTGGAGACAACAAAAAGTGCCTGAAGAGAAAACAAAACCCGCAGAACCAGGGTCATGGGAGCAGAGAGGAATTCTGGGAAGTCAGTTCTCACCTGGAGGCTGGGAAGAGTGAAGGGAAAAGAGCAGAGTGAATGAAGCATGGGTAACCCAAGGGACTAAAAAATAAAGAAAAAACAAATGAGTATTTGAGTGAGGCTTTACAACTGACAGAATATTTTCCCATGAATTACCTTGCTTCAACCTCATGGTAACATCCTTGAGAGGAAGATAGAATTATTTTTTATCCATTTCACAAATCAGAAACCTAGAGGCTTAGATTATTTATAGGGATGTGCAGAAGCAGGAGTTGAATGTGACCGTGGGCTGCTGACTCTCGGCCTCATTTTCTCTTCCATATGGAAATGATGGATATGTTGAAGAGTGTGAGGAGTTCGGAGGGGATGGTAAGTGTGCGTCTCTGCTGTTCACGCCAGCAGTATAAAGGCATGAGGAGAGAGAGGAGAAGCCTCCATCTCAAGTACAAATTCAGAATCAGTATACAGGACTCTGCAGGGACAGTGTAAGGATGACTAAATCCTGTCATAATTGAAAAGAAATTAGTTTGGATACTTGTTTAGAATGTGGTAACTGGTTTACATAGCTTATTGTGTCATTAAAATACTTGCTGATATTGTGAACTTTCAAACTGTGGCTGACTCTTACCGTATGTAAGTGCTTTCCACATTCACAACTCAATTCAAATGCAAAGCAATACTAACCTGAAGTGTAAGCCGTAAACCTCAAATGAATATTTCATGATCTGAAATTATTACTTAATTAAGTAGAAGGAATATCCTGTATTGCGAGAGATTTATTATCTGATTTAGTCACCTTAACAGCATAGATTGATTAAAAAGGAAATAGACAAAGTCCCCATTATCTTCTGGGCTATTTCCTAAAACTTAATATTAATAGAAAAATACTAATATCTTTAAGCAAAAATAGATAGTTTTATGTACCATTCATAACTTTTCTTAAATTTATGCATGTATTATTTTTTCAATTGGTGTATGCCAATGGAAGAACACAGGCATGTGATTTTTTCCTCCCATTTTGTAATTTCTTTGGTCTTTTACTACTTCCTGACTTTAGTTTCTATGGGACTAGGTTGAATCAGAAAATATCTGGGACTCTTTTAAAATGGTAAGTCTAGGGTTTCTAATTTGGATTTGGGCACTGACTGGTAGTTTGGGGAGGGGACACTCAAATTTTATTTTATAACAGACAGCACTAGCAGGTATAACCACATAAGATTTATTTGTCTTCATGGCCAGGCTGCAAGTGAGCGAGTTGGTGTGTGGGTTCCATTCCACTGAGTCCACGCTGACCAAGGAGGACAGGATTTCCTTGGGAAACGTTTCTGAGACTCCCTTTCCACCTGCACCCAACAAAGCCATTGTGTTCTCAATGGCCAGCTTCCTCCTGTGGTGAACCGAATTACTGTTGGCCCTGTGTGTTATGTAGTGGACCTTCAGGTTGCCTTTGGTGGTAACACTCACCTGCATATGTTACACATGAAACGTTTCTCTTCAGTTTGTACCTGCCCGTGAGTCTGAAGAGCACTGGCAGAAGAGAAGTTCATCCCATACCATGTGCAGGGATGTTGCTTGGCTTGTCGGAGTGGCTGGGCAACTAACAAAGGAGTCATGCCTTCAGACCTGGTAGAGGGTTCTACAAATGTGCTGAGAACTTCAACTTTGACATAGGTGGGCTGTGCTTGGATAAACATTGATGGGACACTACCCTGATCTCCCATCTCCGTGTGGCTGTCCTTGGAGCCCTCACCTTTGATCCCAGTATTGGGTGGAGGACCTTGACTTGGTGCATTCTGCTTGGCTATTGGCTGGGGAAAGTCCCTAGAAGGACACAGTTTCCATGGTATCTGGGCTTCAGCTGTCATACCTCTTGTCACCTATAAGTGAGGATGAGTTGTTGGTCAGCCTGTCACCTTCTACTGAGCCTTTTCTTCAGCTGCTCTGCTATTGCAGGCCCTAAAGGGTGGGACCCACTTATCCTGGAGCATCTTGGGACAGCCATCATGGCAAGTCTCAGAATGGCCTGTGTGTGCCACATGGGTGCTGGAAAGCAGTGCAGATACTTTTGAGGAGCTACAGTGGGGCTCTTGGGAGCTGATTTCATGTATACCAATGCTTTTGACAATATTGTCATGGCAGATGGCGCCTGTACTGCTGTTCTCCCTCACCATTGTGGGCTCAGGACCCGTAAAATCACAGGGCTTCTCCAGCAGGAGCACATTAGGAATCTGAGCACTATGTGGATATGAATATGTTGCTGCAGATATTGGTGAACTTCTGGCAGATTGGCTGTAAATGCTGCGTCTTCACCAACTTGTTGGTTCAGTGAACCCCAAGCTGTGTCTTCAAGTTGCATTTTGTGGAAAAGGCTCAGCCAGAGATCTTACACTGGAACAGCCTCTTGCGGGTGTGGGTATGGTAATGCATGTTGAGGGAGTTCGGCGGCTTTAAACTCAGTGGTAAATGATACATTCAGTGGGGTCAGTGGTGGTCTTGTTGATGTCTTCCACAAGCTGCAAATTCCTCACTGCAATTTTAGGGTCTCTGATCTTGGCTCAGGGTCCCACTCCCCCAGAAGCCACCAACCACTGGGCAATGATGGTTTGGCCCTGACCTGGGTAGCGTGGGTCGACTCTCACTTTCTGCAGGAGCCCAGGCCCTAGGTTGCCAGGCAGTAGGCCACTCATGAGGTCCTTGCGGTTAGCCCCTGAGGGGATATTTTGAGGTGGCCCTGTAGGAGGGGTCCCTGTTACAAGGGCCCCTGCTATCTGAAAAGAGACTTGGCTCGTGAATGGGGTCAAGGGCAAAATACACAGAGAACACTATTGCCAGTTACCGCTTCATCCTGGAATTCGTCCTGGGAGTTTGAGTTCACCTGGGGGTGACTGAAAGTGCACCCCTAGGTAGCCCTTGGTGGTGAAGTGATAACCACAGACAACACAGGAAGGGTCTTTCTCTAGTATGGGAGTGGCAGTGGCTCTGCAGGGACCTTGTAGAGGATTGCTTCATCTTTGGGTTTGACATCCACTGAGGAGATTTTGGGTGATTTCTCTTTCTCTTTCTTGGATGAGTCTAGCGCCACAAGAAAGGACTCTGGATGACCACAGAGAGCGGGGCTGAGATAGCAAAGCACCCAGGAGGCCAGATTTGACATTCTGGAGCACCATAGTTCCAGGCTTCAGGGCAAAGCTGTCAGCACTCAGAGCAGGGAGCCAAAGGTGGAAGGGATGTTGGCGTGAGGTAGCTTGGCTTGTTTGAAGGCATCCAGAGATCTTTGGCTGAGCAAGGCCACCGTGATGGAGACTTGC